GAGTTAAGTATTACCTGTCATTTTATTACATGTAACTGTTTAGAGTTAAGTATTACCTGTCACTTTATTACATGTAACTGTTTAGAGTTAAGTATTACCTGTCACTTTATTACATGTAACTGTTTAGAGTCAAGTATTACCTGTCACTTTATTACATGTAACTGTTTAGAGCTAAATATTACCCGTCACTTTATTACATGTAACTGTTAAGAGTTAAGTATTACCCGCACTTTATTACATGTAACTGTTAAGAGTTAAGTATTACTCGTCACTTTATTACATGTAACTGTTTAGAGTTAAGTATTGCTCGTCACGTTATTACATGTAACTGTTTAGAGCTAAATATTACTCGTCACTTTATTACATGTAACTGTTTAGAGTTAAGTATTACCTGTTACTTTATTACATGTAACTGTTTAGAGCTAAATATTACTCGTCACTTTATTACATGTAACTGTTTAGAGTCAAGTATTACCTGTTACTTTATTACATGTAACTGTTTAGAGACAAGTATTACCTGTCGCGTTTTTAACCTGTCATTAAATGTCATTGTTTTAAGTTTAAACTTAAGGATTAGGTGTCAACTCCTTACATATCATTGTTTTAAATCCCAAATTATGTATTATCTGTCACTCTTTTAACATCAAACTTATGTATTATATGTCACTGTTTTAACATCAAACTTATGTATTATCTGTCACTGTTTTAACATCAAACGTATGTATTATTTGACAATTTTTAACACTGGACTTATCGTAAATACCCGCGTATCGTGCGCACTTTTTCCAACATTTTTGTGCTCAGATATGAAGTGTGCACTATACGAGGGAACAGTATTCCAGTATGTTTCAGGTGAAATTTTCAGTCTGTATGTTTGTCTTATATTCTGAAATAACCATTGTTTGTCAGATCACCAAAATTAAAAAAAAACAAAACACAACGATAGATACTTCAGATGTTCTATGTTATTATTCCACAGTGAACATGATATTAAACATGGATAGATACCTCAGATGTTCTATGCTATTATTCCACAGCGAATAAAGCATGTATTTCTGCAAAACTTGTCATGTAAAGAAGCACATAAAATGATTAATCATGTTGTGTTGTTTATTTTTTCCATTTCTTTCCGAATGACGAGCGATCTCGCAATGTTATTTTATTCTTGTACGTGTACACAGATGGCAGCACCTCCTAGTGGTGTCCCACTAATCAACACAATACACCACTCGCTACACAAAGGCCGATCAGCTATTAGAATTGCTGTGCGTACTATACGTGGGCATATTGATTCTTCCTAGTATGTGAGGGCAAAACAATACGCACTATACGCGAGTATTTACGATAAGTACTGCTTGTCACTTCTTTACATGTCACTATTTTAACCCTGAACTTAAGTATTACCTTTAAATAAGACCCAAAACTCGAGCGCTTTCGAATAGTTGACTATTCTTCTTCAGGAGAACAAAAAGCTCTCGAGTTTTGGGTCTTTATTTTAAGTTTATTACACTTTATATGTGATCCTTTGTGCTAACTCTTTTATCAAAAACAACAACAACAACAACAACAACACTTAAGTATTACCTATCAATTCGAAATATGTTGACTGTTTAATCTTGAACTTAAATTATTGCTTGTCATTTTACTTATTTAAATCAAAAGTTAGTCGTTCATTTTCTAGAAATTTGAAAAAAAAGAATATATTAATTTTTAGAAATTGGTTTTAGATATTTTGTTAGAAGAAAATTAACAGATGTCAGCATGTGTCACATTTTATTTATTATCAAGTTTTAATAGCCTGAAAATAAGTATAAACATGTGTCAGCATGTGTCACATTTTATTTATTATCAAGTTTTAATAGCCTTGAAAATAAGTATAAACAGATGTCAGCATGTGTCACATTTTATTTATTATCAAGTTTTAATAGCCTAAAAATAAGTATAAACAGGTGTCAGCATGTGTCACATTTTATTTATTATCAAGTTTTAATAGCCTGAAAATAAGTATAAACAGATGTCAGCATGTGTCACATTTTATTTATTATAAAGTTTTAATAGCCTGAAAATAAGTATAAACAGATGTCAGCATGTATCACATTTTTCACGTAGATTTTATTTACTATCAAGTTTTAATAGCCTAAAATAAGTATAAACAGTTCAAACTGGTGGCTTAATATGCCTGCAATTTAAAGCATTGGATTCTTTAAAACTGCGAGTGTTACTTTCTTTAGATTTATAAACTAAATAATTAGATTTTGATTTTTTAGGGCAGAATGTAGCTTAGTTTGGTTGGAAATTCCCGCAAAGCTACACAAGGGCTAATTAGTAGCTGTCCCTAATTTAGCAATGAAAGACTAGAGGGAAGGCAGCTACTCATCACCACCCACCGCCAACTCTTGGGGTCTACTCCTTTACCAACGAATAATTGGATTGATCGTCACATTATAACGCCCCCACGACTGAAAGTGCGAGCAAATTTGGTGGGATGGGGGATTCGAACCCGCGACCAGCAGCTTGCGAGCAGAGCACCCTAACCACCTGGCCATGCAAGGCCATGTAGCTTATAAAAAAGCCTGTAACTGTGAATTTAAGAGGTCTAGAGTAAAACGTTTTGACTGTGAGCTTGAAAAGACGTGTAACTTAGAGCGAAAGGTTTTGACCGTGATCTTGGAAAAACGTGTAACTTAGAGCGAAACGTTTTGACTGTGAGCTTGGAAAAATGTGTAAATTAGAGCGAAACGTTTTGACTGTGAGCTTAGAAAACGTATAACTTAGAGTGAAACGTTTTGACTGTGAGCTTGGAAAGACGTGTAACTTAGAGCGAAAAATGTTTTGACTGTGAGTTTGGAAAGACGTGTAACTTAGAGCGAAAAATGTTTTGACTGTGAGCTTGGAAAGACGTGTAACTTAGAGCGAAACGTTTTGACTGTGAGTTTGGAAAAATGTGTAAATTAGAACGAAACGTTTTGACTGTGAGCTTGGAAAGACGTGTAACTTAGAGCGAAAACGTTTTGACTGTGAGTTTGGAAAGACGTGTAACTTAGAGCCAAAAACATTTTGACTATGAGTTTGGAAAGA